TGTTCCAGCTAGGACGAGGCAAAAGACTGCAGGGGACAGTCAGAGGAGAGGTTGGAAAAGACAGAAGCTGAACAGCATTGGGGTGAGGGCGGGGGGGCAGGAGTCAAGAACAGAGACAAGGTGAGAAGAGAGAGAGATTCAGGCTCAGGGAGAGAGATCTGCCTCAATCTTCTGAGCTGTAACACAGGAGTAACAGGACTCTCCATCCCACTTTGTGAGGATTAAGTAAGTTAAGGGATGAAAAGTATTCTAGAACAGGGCCTGGCAAATGGTAAATGCTAAATCAACGTTAGCTCTGTTTTTGTCACGGAAAAAATGGGACAGAAATTCCAAGAGGTAGATTGTGGACAAATTAGGGAGAGACTCAAATGACTGGTTATGAGGTTGTATTGCAGGTTTTTGAGTAGAAGCATATACATATACACAAAAGAAGATATTGTGGGTGAGAAGGTTGAATAGGTGTCAGAGCACAGGGAATCTAGCCCCAGCTCCTCCTGGGGCTATGAACCAGCAAATCCCATGACGCAACTAGGAGTCTATGTGTCTTCTAAAGTCCCTTCCAAATTCTACATTGCAAAGTGGTGCAGACTTGGGCTGTGGTGACAGTGACCATGGATAAGCAGGGAAAGCTGTGACTGCTTGGTGACTGCCTGAGTAATGAGGGACCAGATGAAGGGAGACATGAGAGAAGATTCCAGCATTCATTTGAGCCAGGATGAGGAAGTCGGGAAGAGAGCAGGTCTGGAGGAAAGAAAAGTGACTGTAGTTTGGACATGGTGAATTTAAGATGAGAGTAACACAGCCTAGTGGAAACCAATGTCCAGGATGGTTAGCAGTGGTGGACCAAGGATTTTTCCAGCATGTGCAGGGCAATAGTTGGAAGCCATGAGAACGAATGCCATCAGATCATCTTGCCTCTGATGTCCTGTGACCCAGAATGTGACCTTGATGGCTAAGAGAAAAGTCTGTAAAAAGACAGGGTCAGGCTGGGTTCGGTGCCTCATGCCTGTAATCCTACTACTTTGGGTAGCCCAGGTGGGAAGATCACTTGAGGTTACGAGTTTGAGACCAGCCTGGCCAACATGATGAAATCCCATCTCTACTAAAAATACAAAAATTAGGCTGGGCGGGATGGTTCACGCCTGTAATCCCAGCACTTTGGGAGGCCAAGGCAGGTGGATCACATAAGGTCAGGAGTTCGAGACCATCCTGGCCAATACGGCAAAACCCTGTCTCTACCAAAAATACAAAGATTAGCCGGATGTGGTGGTGTGTGCCTGCAATTCCAGCTACTTAGGAGGCTGAGGCACAAGAATTGCGTGAGCCCAGGAAGTGGAGGTTGCAGTGAGCCAAGATCGCGCCACTGCACTCCAGCCTGTGCACCAGAGGAAGACTGTCTCAGAAAAAATAAAAGGAGGGTGGTGAAAGTAAATGCTGAAACCAACAGAAATGGAAATTTGTAGCTGCCCCTTAGAGCTCTGGGGATCAGCACACAGGGAGATTTGAAGGAAATGTTCACAGGAGATCCCAATTTCAAAGAAGTTGTCGCTGGAAGGCTGCAGCTTTGTCCCTGGTCTCCAGGATCTGGCTCTGGCCCTGGCAGGAAGCCAATCCACTTCCCCTCCAGATTGCCCCAGCTGCTGCTATAGGTTTTCTTTCTCTGCTCTTCTCCTTCTCCTCACCCTTTAGGGGGCCTCTGACAACCTGAAAAGTCACCCCAGCCATCTTGTCACTGTCCAATTGTTACCCATTCCCTCTCCTACCCTCTGAAGTTCAAAACTTCGGTGTATAATTTACATGTGTCAAGTGAAAAATGTTGGCTTTGAAATACAGTTGAGGTAAAAGTGCATTTCATTTGCCTTTCTTGTAATTAGGAGACAAGACCTAGGAGCTGTCATGAATGTTTGTGAGATCACAAATAAATCAGTGGCTCTAAGTTCACCAGGGAGGAAACTTCCCCTTGCTGGCTGAGCAGGCTGCAATGGAGACTAAGGTTAGAGTGAAGTGGCAGTGGTGATGGTGGCAGTGACATGCTGGTGGTGGTATTGGCAGGCAGCCATAGATTTCCAAAGTAATTGGTAAGAGTTCCTGACCCCCAAAAAAGCAAAGTTCCTGGTGGCACTAGGACATGATCTATTTTACAACCTCTCCAAGATGGGTAATTTCCAAGGATCTAGTGCCAACTGGCCCTACTAGGCAATTAACTAATTCATTCAGCTTTATCGACTGAGCAATGAGTTCATGACGAGGGTCAGGATAGCTGTGGGCACTAGCAATAAGGAGCATGCTATGTCTAGCTTCTCTGTCAGAGGACTGAATATTGGGAGGGAAAAGGGGGGTATAATGTGATTTGGGGTCTGGCACAGTGACTCACACCTATGCTCCCAACACTTTGGGAGGTCGAGGCGTGCAGATTACTTGAGGTCAGGAGTTCGATACCAGCCTGGCCAACATGGTGAAACCCCATTTCTACTAAAAATACAAAAATTAGCCGGGTGTGGTGGCATACCCCTGTAATCCCAGCTACCCAGGAGGCTGAGGCAGGAGAATCGCTTGAACTTGGGAAGCAGAGGATGCAGTGAGCCAAGATCACATCACTGTACTCCAGCCTCGGCAACAGAGCGAGAGTCCATCTCAAAAATAAATAAATAAAGTGATTTGGGCCTTGAGTCATGCCAATCCACATGGGAATTCAAGCTTGTGGGGAGTCTTCAGCAAAAGCCCACTCTTCTCCAAACAGATTTACTTTTCCTTCCAGCTCTTCCTCTAGCTATATTAGTAGCCAACCTCCCTGAACCCAGTCCCCCTTCTTCCAGGTCTTGTTGCTTTCTCACTTCTGAGCCTAATCCTGATCTCCCATCCTTTCCTTGAAAATTGATCACAGACATTGAGTTCCACGAGTGCCTCCATCATCTCCCTCCACATCCTCCCAAATCCCTCCAGGATGAGGCTGTGCCTGTTTCACTTCCCACAGTTTTTCATCCAAGCTTGGTTCAAGATTTGTCAGTTCATAGTTAAGTCTAGTTCAGTCTCATAGACTGTTTTTTGTTTCAGTTCTTCCAGGCACTGGGCCAAATGACCCGTTCAAGGCTGATAAAGACTCACTGACCTAGGCACAGGAAGTTCTGGGAGGTGAATGAATTTCTGGGTGGTCCTAAAATAAACCCTTTCCCTCTTGTGCCTAACCCTAGGACAACCTACTGAGTCCACAGTTTGACCTGGAACATGTAGTGGAGGCAGGAGGAATAGGTGACACTACTCTTTCACCAGTTTGTAGAAACTTGGTAAAATCAATTACCTTCTGGGCCTCAGTTTCCTTCTTTCTTTCTCTTTTTTTTTCTTGAGACAGGGTCTCTCTCTGTCGCCCAGGCTGGAGTGCTATGGTGCGATCTCAGCTCACTGCAGCCTCTGCCTCCTGGATTCATGCAATTCTCCTGCCACAGCCTCCTTAGTAGCTGGGATTACAGGCATGCACCACGAGCTAATTTTTGTATTTTTAGTAGACACAGGGTTTCACTATATTGGCCAGGCTGGTCTCGAAGTCCTGATCTCAGGTGATCCACCCATCTTGGCTTCCCAAAGTGTTGGATTGCAGGTATGTTACTATTTGGATTGCAGGTATAAGACACCATGTCTAGACATTTCCTTCTTTATAAAATGATTTTGAAGGCCCCTTTCGGCCCTGATAGTCTAGGATACTGTGCACATGGTCAATTGGTTTTAAGCACTTCATAGGCTTTCTTTCATATCATTTGCGGTATATAAAGTTTAACTTCAGGGCTTGCCTAGAGGTAAAGCTTATTTTTAAAAGGGAGGGCTAGTTCTGATTCAACAGTAGACCTAAATGTTTGGTTGGACTTGGATCTGCTTCAAATTTCCAGGAGACATGAAGCATAATGATGTGTAATCCTTACCACCCAGACCCTTACTCTCCCAGTAAGGAGCTGGAAACAGACTGCTCACTGAGGGACGCATACAGGAGTACCTGTCTGGGGTTTCACCACTGTTATGTGGAGGGGACTCAGCTTTCTAAATACGAAGCTTCTGGGAAATATTGAGTGGGGGCCGGTGGTGAGGTGAGGGGAGCCCATGGTAACTACAGACTACTAAAGGCAGGGATTATGTTTAGGAGCCGGGGGCTGAAACTGGGGACAAACTGTTGATGGTCTCAGGCCAGGGAAGGCCACTTTGGGCTAGTGCATCCCCAGCTCAGTGCACACAGGCGGTAAACTGGTCCTCTGTCCCAAACCCAAAGCAGCTCCTGTAGAGTTTTCTTTGGCTCCGAGAAGCAGAGGCCTCCCCTGAGCCCTGGCCCCCCTCTACCGCAAAGCAACTGGCTTCCATTACCCCTGACAGCTCCAGAGCAACAGCCCAGCCCCCGGCCCCGCCGTTCCCTTTTATGGTGAAGCTGAGAAAGCATGGAGTGAGGGGGGAGAAAGTTATGGCTGGGCAGAGGCTTGGAGAGTTCCAGGGTGACTCTCCCCTCGCCAGAGACCCTCGGGTACCCGCAGCCATCGCTCTTCCTACTCTTCTGCGACCTAATCTGTCCTGAACCCAGAACCCCTCTTGCTTGTTCCAACCCTTCCTCCCCTTCTCCATTCCTCCTCTTCTCCCTCCCTCACATCCGGGTGGGGGGGTGATTTCCCACTTGGCCGAAGTCCCAAGGTTTGGGTTTTGATTCCGGGAGGGTCCGCCCTATTTCCGAAGCCCACCTCAGGGGGTGGGGTGAAGGGAGGGAGCCCGGCTAAGACCGACCCTGGTCAGATCACAGACAGGACCTTTCTTCTTGGTTGCATGTGGGTCACGAAGGCTGGTGCCGGAGAAAGAAGCACCTGGCAGCCCCAACCCCGTTCCCATTCTACATCGCCTCCCACCCCCGTCCCTGCTGCCCGAGCCAGGGAGAGGACACTGAGGGCGGGACCCAAAGGAAACACCTGGTTGGGCCGGGCCGGGAAGCAGTGCGGAGGGCCGGGACCGGAAGGGGGTTGGAATAGCCCGCCGCCCCGCCGCTGCACCCTAGTCCCAGCCCACTCCTCGGCCCCGGGGAGGCGGCTCCCACGGCTTCTCTAGCCGCGTCCCAGGCCACGCCAGCTGCGGCCAGCTGTGCGATGCCAGGCCCAAGCGCGCGTCCGCGGCCCCGCCCCATCCCCTACGGCTGGATCTCCCACCGCAGCTGAGCCCAAGTCCCCGCTCCAGTCGCTGCCCGAAGCGAGCGCAAACGCTGAGCCGACGAGACGGCTGGGCTAGAGAGGCTGTCCCGACCGCGCCCCCCGCCGGAAGCGGCTGGTTAGGGCCTGAGGTGGCGCTACGAAGTTCCGGTCCAGGTCTCCTACCTCGGGCTTGTTCGCAGGCGGCGTCGGAGCCGAGCCGGACTGGTCAGGTGAGAGGCACGCAGGCGCCCACGGCAGGGTTAGCCCGTGGGTTGAGGACAGGTCCTTGAGAGGGCGAGGAGTGCGCCAGCCAGAGGCTCAGTCCCTCTTTCCTCCGCAGGATGATCACGGACGTGCAGCTCGCCATCTTCGCCAACATGCTGGGCGTGTCGCTCTTCTTGCTTGTCGTTCTCTATCACTACGTGGCCGTCAACAATCCCAAGAAGCAGGAATGAAAGTGGCGCTTTCTCTGTCCCAGGTAACGGCCCGGGGCTGTAGCGCCCAGCCCCCAGAGATGAGTGGTGAGGCCGCGCCAGGGCCAGCAGGGTTCGAAACTTCCAATCAGCAAGCGTCGGGCCAAGCATGATACAGTCCAGAACTGGGCCCCTTTATCTGCACAGAGTAGAGAGCGCGCTGTCCCCTCCCCCTAAACTGTTCCCGACTAGAATGGGAGAGGGTTTCCTAACCCTAACAGACCCCATCTTGTGGTCCCCAGTAGGTAGATGCCCAAGTTGAGAGTACAGTTGTAAGGAGGCATTGACACCAATAGGAACGAAGGGACCAAGGGTACCATCCAAGTATGAGGACTTGGGCCCTTTTCTTTTTTGATTCGGAGTTTCGCTCTTGTTACCCAGGCTGGAGTGCAATGGCTCTATCTTGGCTCACCGCAACCTCTGCCTCCTGGGTTCAGGCAATTCTCCTGCCTCAGCCTCCTGAGTAGCTGGGATTACAGGCACGCACCACCATGCCCAGCTAATTTTTTGTATTTTTAGTAGAGACGGGGTTTCACCATGTTGACCAGGATAGTCTCGATCTCTTGACCTCGTGATCCGCCCGTCTCGGCCTCCCAAAGTGCTGGGATTACAGGCGTGAGCCACCGCGCCCAGTGGATTTGGGCTCTTAAATAGCCCTCACTTTCTCCGGGTTGTTTAGGCCTTATTTATGCAGAATATTCTGTTTCCATGTACTGAGGCCAGGAGTTGGCTGCTGTAGACCCAAACTATGGGGGCGGGGCGGTGGTTTGGGAGCCAGCCGTAAGTGTGGGTCACAAGTGTAAAGGGAACATGGATGGACGTTACTTCCTGAAGGATTCCCCGCAGGAAACCTGCAGCATTTTCCTTACCTCAGGTCTTTCCCCTTTTTTCTAGGATTCCAGGACATAGTCTGAGGCAAGATGGAGGGTGTGAGGGGCCTTCACACTTCAGTTCATCCCTTCTACCCATCACAACATACAAAGCAACTACACCTGGATTTTTCCAAACAACTTTTATTTCCTCAGTCTTCCTTAACCTTATGGAATAAGAAGCTGCCATTCAATAGGGCCCAGTATAGGGGCTGCTTTCTTTTCTACTCCCTCCCCCCCAATATAAAAATATAGATATATATTTTTTGTGGTCCCAAAATCTTGTGCTGCGGAGGGAGGGAAGGGGTGGCAGGTCCCTGTTTTGTCTTGTTTCAAGGCGATGCTCTGTAATGCCTTGGACAGTGTGGCTGGCATTCCAAGGACTTAACGGCTGTCATGTGGAATGAGCAGCCTGGAGGGGAACTAGCATATTTCCCACTGTGTTACCCCATCTTGGGGCTATATCCTGGGCTTGAACATAAAGGCATTATCAGACCCGGGGAGAAATAGTGAGTGGGGGAGATTTAGGGACAAAACAAACCTCAGGTTGGCCCAAGGGACTCCCGCTGTAACAATTCCAGGATGGGGAGTCAGATAGACTACAGGATATAGGAGAAAAGGCAGGGGCAGAGCGGGGCCGTGGGGGCTTGGCCTGAGGCAGCCTGCAACAGAGAAGAGAGAGGAATCAGGGTTGTGAAAACTCTGCTCCTCTTCTGTTCTGCTAACCAGGGGCTGGGAGGTGAAGAAGTGGAGCGAGATGACGACGGGTAAGGATGGGCAAATTGTGACTGCACGGTGGTCTGATGCTCTTAGGCCATAGGCCCTAACTAAAAGTTGTTTTCTTTTCCTGTGGAGTGAAGACTGTGGCCATGGTGGGTGGGAAAAAATATCAGGAACTAGATTCTTAATGAAAGTACATTTAGTCTTTGTGCTCACAAGGAGTAGGAAAGGCAGAAATTATTCTGAATGACAGAAATGGGAATGAGGGGACAGAAGTGAGGAGTGGGGTGAGGGATTGGACCCCAGTGCTCACCCTGGTGTAGCAGAGCAGGGTCCCGGCTCCAGCTCACTGCTCTCCCTGGTCCGGGGGATAGGGGATGTGGGGCCTGAAGAGCCTTTCATCCCTCTGCGAGTCGGCGGTGAGCTCCGGCCCAACCTGGGCCTAGCCTGTGTGGACAGGGAGTGTGCTAAGAGGCTGGATTCTTCCATGAGTTTTTTTTTGCTTTAGTTTGTACCTAGAATTTCCATCCGTAAGAGTGTTACGGGGATCAACAGAGGTACTGGGACATTGAATTCTAGCTGAAAGAATGAGGCAAGATAATAGCCAGAGAAGTCCTGGATTCAGTCCATGACTGTACACTCCAAGTCTACATAACTAGGGGTGGCAAGAGGATCCAGCATTTACTCACCATGGCTACACCATGGCTAAGGTCTGGGTGAGTAGAGAAACACTGTAGAAAGATAGTGGAGGGTTGGTAGACCTCAGAGCCTTCTGTGCCTCAGCCCCTGCCAGAGCAGCGTACATCTCACCCATCCAGTCAGCTTCTGCCTATACTCCTTTACCTAGCATGGGGATCTGGACTGAATCAGAGTTGGTGGCAGGGCTGTTCCTAGCAGCAGCAACCAAATGTGTTACCTGGGGAATCCGGGACCCCTCCTGGCGGAAACTCTCCTCGGGCAGGTCTGGGCAGAAAGAGAGGAGAAGCTAATGGGAGGGGCAGGGAAAGCCAAAGCTAGCAGGCTGAGGTTGGGGTATATCTGGCAGGGACACAGGCTGAAAGCAAGCAAGAGACCTGGGCTGATGGGGATGGTGGAGGGCAGGAGGGGGACTGGACAGACAAGAACTCAGGCATCACAGCAGCCCTCTGATGTGGCCAGGGGTAGTAGAGGCAGTAAAGCAGTACTGAGCATTTTCCCTCCCACTACCCAGAGGAACAGTGCCTTGCTGGGTTCTGCTAGAGTAGTTGTGCTGGGAGACTGGGAAGAACCAAAAATATTACCTGCAGTCGAGTCTTGATGCAGGGCATCCGAGCTCCAGTCCCTAGCAGACCTTTCCCAATTACCATGACAGATTCTGGTTTGTCCCCAGAGGACAAGAGTGAACAGCTGCTCCCTAGGGAACAGAGGAAACTGATCAGGGTTGGGGCCGCAGAGAAGAGGAGGTAACTTCCTTTCGATCAGGGTTTCTCAACCTTGGTACGTTGAGAACATTTTGGGTTGGATAATTCTTTGTTGTGGGGAGTGTTCTTGTGCACTGTAGGATGTTTAGCAGCATCCCTAGCCTCTAACCAATTATATTCGGTTTCATCACCTCCCTCCTCCTCAATTTAACAGCCAAAAATGTCTCCAGATGTTGCCTGACGTCACCTGGGTAGCAAAATCGCCCCTGGTTGAGGCTCTAGTCTGGTCCAAGGGGTGGAGAAGCAACTCCAGGCTAGACTCAGAACGCACCCAAGCTTAACTCCTGTGTCAATTTATATGCCACAGGGCCTACAATCAAGTCAGCTCTACCCAGGACTGGTGGATTCAGTGCTACCCATTGAGGAGAATTGACAGGTTGGGAGTAGGGGCCTCTGAGTAAGTAGAACATGCTGGACTAGAGTCTTAGAATCATTCCCATCCAGTCCTTTAGATAGCTGGGTCTATAATTTAAAAGAAGAGATGGCTTAAGTTTTGTGTGAATGACACGGCTACACACAACATTTAGCAGTGTTGACAGGTGAAAGATCTATGCTTTTTTCATTCTCCTGTCTTGTCTATTGTTGCCCAGCTCCTGAATTCAGGGAACTTGCATAAGTATCACTTTGCAGGTAGTCCTCAGGTTCCTCAACTGTAAAAATGAGGATTAAATGAGATTAAGTGTGTAGAGCAGTGCCTGGAACATAATAAATGTGAACTACTGTTGTTTTACACAAAGACATTAATAAATTCCACCTGCCTATTCAAAGGCACCAGTGTTAGAGGTTTAGGATACCAAGAAGATAACTGATGCCCCTGGTCTCCCAACTAGACTTAAAGAACCTGGGCTGGTCATGGAGGAGGCTGGCCAGCCCAGATTTCAGTGGCAATGGGTACAGACCTGGTATATTGAGTGAATCGGGCAGTAGACAGGAGCCCAGCTTGTGTGAGGAGGCTGGGCCAGAACTAGCAGGAGCTGGGGATGGAGCCAGGCTGCCTGCAGGAGGACGATGGTTCAGTGGCTGCTGTCGCCGTCTCCTGTCCTGGCTTCGGGGCTCTGAGTGGAAGAGATACAAGCAGATAAAAGGGCAAATAAGTGGGGTACTATGAGGCAGCCTTCACTGACTTGCTGGCTCCCTTGGTCAAAAGATGCCTGTTTTTCAAGCTTGTCGTCAGACCCACATCCCTCTCCTGCAGTAACTATTAGTATAAGATGGGTAGAAAGACCTACTATTTAATAAAATTATCCAGTTCTCCACCAGCCTTCATCCTGCCGGTTTTTTTGTTTGTTTTATTTTTTGAGACAAGGTTTCCACTCTGTCACCCAGGCTGAAGAAGTGCACAATGGCACAATCATGGCTCACTGCAGCCTCAACCTACCAGCTTAGGTGATCCTCCCACTTCAGCCTCCTGAGTAGCTGGCACTATAGGTGCCTGCCACCATGCCCAACTAATTTTTTGTGTTTTTAGTAGAGATGGGGTTTCACCCAGGCTGGTCTTGAACTCCTAGGCTCAAGAGATCCACCCACCTTGGCCTCCCAAAGGGTTGGGATTGCAGGTGTGAGCCACTGTACCTGGCCCAGTTCATTCTTTTGGCAAAGAAGCTACTGAGCTTGGATAACACTGCTTTCCTTGGTTCCCCTCCTACCACTAATTGTTTCTCTTCCAGCTGTTCTTCCTGCCTCTTAAATGTCAAGTCTTCCCCACCATTCTGTCCTTGGGCCTCTCATGCTCTACTTACTCTTAAACTCCGAAATCACTCTCTACCCCATTTCTCCTGAAATCCAGTTCTAACTGTCCACTGGAAATTTCTTCCCAAAAGTACCCTTGACAAAACAAAACTCAATCCCTTTCTTTCATTCTCCTTGTCTTGGTGGAAAACCTTGTTTCATCTTTATACTCCTCTCTTAGATTTGCATTTGTGTAATTAAATTCTACAATTCTATCTCTGCATTTTCTGTCACCTAGGCTGTAATGTGGTGGCATGAACATGGCTCACTGCAAACTTGACCTCCTGCATCCCAAGTAGCTGGGACAACAGGTGACGCTATCAAGCCCAGCTAATTTTTAATTTTCTTTAGAGGTGGAGTCTCGCCATGTTGCCCAGGCTGGTCTGGAACTCTTGGGCTCAGGCGATCCTCCTGCCTCAGTTCCCAAAGGGCTGGGATCACAGGTAGGAGCCATTGCACTGGGCTTGAAGATCTTCTAAAGGATAAACTCTAAACCTTTGAACACTACACATTCAAAGCTTTGCCTACTGTAGCTCCAGTCTATACATGCTTAGTAGGATGCTGATTTGATCCTTCATACCCTCTGCTATAGCCCATGTTGCTACTAGTTGTGTGTGGTTCCTCTGGAACTGTTTCCTTTTCTGGTGAAACCATGACCATCTTTGATTTCCCATCTCAAATGTTACCTCTCTGAAGCTTACTTGACCATTACAGGCAGAATTAATTGTCCTCTCCTCATTACCTTCATCCTTCATTTGAGTGGCTAGTAGTTTATGGTTTCTGTTTAATTAAGTTAGAATGTGTAAAGTACTTATGGGCACATAGTACTCAATAAACATAATCTAGTATTCTTTCTAACTGGAACTTGAGTTTCTTGGGAGTAGGGACTTTGTTGCCTCCAACACTATATAACCCAGTGCCTGTAAAATACTGCCTGAAAAACCAGAGACCTTAATCAATGTTTTGTTTACTTGAACAGCAAATACCTACTGTACACCATGAGCTGGATCGATCATCTCTCGGAGTCTAAAGGTATATAGTTATATTCTTTGGGGCAGCTGTCTCTGGATCACTCATGTCTAGAGCCTTCCAAGTTCTGAAGGGTGGGGTCCAGAGGGCAGATGGTGAATGTGTGCGGTAGGGAGGCTTGAAGCTTTGGCGTGTCCTTCCTCATCACAGAGGAACAGCAGGTGCCAAATGCTCTCAAACTGAATGGGCTGTTAACTTCAAAGAACTGAACTCACTGGGGGTGCCAACATGCCAACTGACCCCTAATAAATGAGCCGGGTGCAGAAATCCTCTAACTTAAAAAGTGACAGTAACTTCATCTTCCCAGTCACGCTGGGAATTAGCAGGCAGTGACAAGAATACTTTTGAAAGGTCCCAAACCAGGCTAAGCATGGTGGCTCATGCCTGTAATCCCAGCACTTTGGGAGGCTGAGGCAGGTGGATCACTTGAGGTCAGGAATTCGAGACCAGCCTAGCCAACATGGAGAAACCTTGTCTCTACTAAAAATACAAAAATTAGCTGGGCGTGGTGGCAAGTGCCTGTAATCCTAGCTACTCCAGAGGCTGAAGCACGAGAATCACTTGAACTCAGGAGATGGATGTTGCAGTGAGTCGAGATTGGCTACTACACTCTAGCCTGGGTGACAGAGTGACACTGTTTAAAAAAAAAAAAAGAAGAAAAGTACCAAAGTGGGAGAAAGAAAAACCCAGATATTTGTATGAATAAAGAAGAAAGGAAGCGATCTCAAGATGGAAGCTACTGTAGCTATGAGGAGATGTGCTTAGGTGCTGGGTACTAATTATAGGTTTAAGATGGTGAAGAGTCAAAAATGCCAGGCATGGTGGCTCACGTGCCTTCTGAGGCTGAAGCGGCTCGATCTCTTGTGTCTGGGAGTTTGAGACCAGCCTGGGCAACTTGGCGAAACCCCATGTTTACTAAAGAAAAAAAATAGAAAAATTAGCCAGGTGTGGTAGTGTGCACCTGTAGGCCCAGCTACTAGGAAGGCTGAGGCTAGAGGGTCACTTGAGCCAGGAACATGAAGGTTACAGTGAGCTGTGATCACACCACTGCACTCCAGCCTGGGTGACAGAATGAGACTGTCTCAAAAAAAGAGTCAAAAACAACCAGATGTTAGGGGGCTACTGAGAGATGGCACAGGTTGCCAACAGGATAACAGAAGTCAGAGACTGGCCACAGTCAAATAACCTAAAACATTTGCCACCCCCAATGACTCAGAGATAGTCTAGGGCCCAGATCTGAGTAATTCTGTGATTAAAAAGGATGTCAGGATGATGTCCAGCTGACAGTACACAGTAGGCAGAAATCATGGACTTGATAGAGGAAATAGTGAGTTTAGTTAATTTGAGAAATATCTACACACAGAGGCATGTTGAAACCATGTTAAGGGACAAAGTTTCACCCTACCCCAGGAAAGGGTAAATGCAAGGGAGAAAGAACAGCCAAGAGTGATGTGATCAGCTCTGCCTCCAGAGGTTATGAAATGGTATCTTATGGTAACCAACTAGAGGTTCCATTTTGGGGGTGGTAGGATAGTACTGGGCAGAGGGGAGACTGACCCCCTACCTTGAATGAGTCAGAATGGGTGTTCTAAGGTCTCACAATTTAGAGCAGCAGTTATTTGACTTGCACCAAGGTCCTGTGTGTCATCCTTAGAACATCTTTGGAACTGTCCTTACATGTAGCACTCCAGATCTTACTGAATCCCTGGGACAATCACAGACCTGATTTATGCCCCCTGAGGGGTAGAAAGGTGAGACAAACATTCAACTGGTTCCCAACTTCTTGCTTTTTATTCATTCAACAAATACTTGCTGATCATTTACTAAGTGCCAGGCACAGGACTAGGTGCTAAGGGCATAAGTCGATGTGTTAGGAGACACTTCCTGAAGCTTTTGTTTGCAATGGAAAAAGTGGCCTTAAAGCCCTCTTAGTTCTTCTGTCTTCTACCATCACTGAATCCTGCCACTTCTCTTTCTAATACTTATATTTATCTCTCCTCAGACTCAGGTACTGGCTCTGGTCATCTCAGCTCCCATTTTTCTGTCCAATATGTACAGTTCACAAACAATGTATTACACAGTTCAGTCTCTTACATTTATTCCCATTCTTAGAAACAATTGTTGCCATTGTCTCAGTTAAGCTCTTAATCCTTGTTCCCAAGACATTTCAACTACTTCTCTCTTTACCTAATTTCCTTGGTGATGGGCATGGCCTTTGGCATACCACCTAGGTATACATGCTTTTTGTCCTCTCCACCCACCACTCTGTTCCTAGCTCTGTTCTTGCTCCTGGCTGTCATTTCTCACTTTGGGAATTTCTGTCCAACTATGTGCTACCCATTCTTGAAACTATTTCTTAACTGAACATTCTTTGGTTAATTACTCTTGTGTTTAATCTACCACAGTAGTTCCCCGAACCCCTAGGATGTTTACAGTCTGTTTGCACCCTCATGTTGTATTTACTGTCCTGTTTCCCCTTGTATTAAGTTTCAAGTCAATCAACCAGGAATTACTTAGTATTGACTGCATATTTTCTATCAGTAGGGGAAGTAACAGAGAAATAGAATACATGTCCTTCACCTCAAGGAGCTCAGTACAGTGTTGTGCAATGGAAGTGGGGCAGGGAGGATGTCAATAAAATAGTGATTAAATAGTGCCTAGACAGGCGCGGTGACTCACGCCTATAATCCTAGCACTTTGGGAGGGGCGCCTGAGGTCAGGAGTTCAAGACTAGCCTGGCCAACATAGTGAAACCCCATCTCTACTAAAAATACAGAAAATTAGCTGGGTGTGGTGGTAGGCATCTGTAATCCCAGTTACTTGGGAGGCTGAGGTGGGAGAATTGCTTGAACCTAGGAGGCGGAGGTTGCAGTGAGCTGAGACGGTGCTATTGCACTCCAGCCTGGGCAACAAGAGCGAAACTCTGTCTCAAAAAAAAATAAAAGGGGGTGGCCTAGAATATTCCAGTAACAACCTAGAAAAGGCTCTTTACTGTTTCTTTGTAGTCAGGAAAGGAGAACTTACGAGGCTGATGAAGGAATTCCGTGTCAGTTCTGGCCTGATAGCATTTTCTTAGTGAGTTCTGAAGCCAGGAACAATTTCAGCCCATAAAGACCACAGATAAGATCCCCATCATTCTATAGTGCTGCAATTTGGATTCTGAGGACATTCCTTTAACTGCTCCCATCGGGACAGATTGAAGCTTCCTTGACATGGAAGCTTCATGTCTGGTTTGGCACTGCTTCAGCTAATATTTCATCCTTGGAAAATCCCCTGGCTCCTAGCATGCACTGAAGCCCAGATATTCAGATGTCCCCACTGTGGCCACACACAATACCACTCTGGAATCATGCCGCAGGGAACACCAAGGTCATAGGAGAGGCCACAGGTTCTGCTACAAACTAATTTTATTGATTCAACCCTTGGTCCTGGGCCAAGAGTATATCTTCAAGTTTTTACTTCCCCCAGCAATGCCCCAGACAACTGAACACATGTTGCAGGGGCTCCCAGACTGGCTTACCTCTGACGGGGCCCAGCACCCGGTGGGTGACCTTTTGGGTGTTAGAGCCCAGGCCTGGCAGCCCTGCAGGCCGACTGCCATGAAAAGGAAAGCTGGGGGAATTCTTCATCTGTGGAGAATTTTGTTGGCTGCTGCTGCTACCACCAGCACTTGTGCCAGTGCTAAAACTTCGTGCCCGGCTCAAGGTGTTTTCAGAGCAGGAAACAGGCAACCCACTGCAAAGAAGCAGATGCCAGTTAGCCCTGGGCCAGGAAGCTTGTGTCCTAAGGCTTTCCCTAGGATCTGATGCTAAGTAAAGCTTCACCTACGGGGTAAAAAGGCACAGGGACCCGATCCAAGGGAGAAGTGAGGAATTCATGTCCATGGATGTAGTATCCAACCTGGGGTATACCAGCTAATCTCAAAATGTGATAAGGGCCATCCCTGAGCACCTTTATCTCCCAATGAATTTCCCCCCTACTGCCTTGGCACTGACCCTTCAGTTCCCTTCAGTCAGTCATTCACAACCCTTGGAAGTTAAGGCCTGCCCCTGCAATTATATTTGATTTTGTGCAAAACTCTGGAGCAGAGAATCCCTAGCCTGATACTCAGATCTCGTAGATGTATATAGCTCAGAGTAAAAGGGAAGAGGATCCCATTCTCAAAAAATAAACTAATCTTACTAATTTTAATTTACCCTAAAAATACTTGCCATTTGGCACTTTGAGGAGGAGGGAAGATATATAAATCCCTTGGAACTCCTAGCTCCAGAGCCCTGTCCCACCCTCCTACCCTTTCTCCCTCCTATTTTGCTGGCCTTACTTGTGACTTTTGAGTGGAGTTCGAGGGCCCCTCTTCTTGTTGACACCCACATTCAGAGTGCTGCTTAGGCCTCGGCTGTTGCGTACATGTTTCAGCATCCAGGCCCGTAGATTAGTAAGGCTGCTGTGCTCTGACAGCACAATTCGGGGCCACGGATTACATTCTGCCATGTCCAGAGCTGCGATGGCCATAGCTCTTCCCACCTGTAGGGGAGTCCAGTTTGGCTCAGCATGCAAGTCCTCCCATGCAGGCTGCTATCTGGTACACAGCACAACGGAAGGGAAGGAGGGGCTAGACGTATAATTTGTTCATTGGATGCCCTAACCTTTGTTCCCAGGCTGTTTATTGCAAATGGATTTGGAGCTGTTCCCTAAACCCATTTGGGAGCCCTCATCCATTATAGGGCCAGGGGTATGTCCTTTCTGGCTGGCACCATGAAGGAATTCTCCCAGCAGGAAAGAGTTTTGAATCCCTTCTGTAACCTGCAGCTTTTTGTACTCTTATGTGTCCTAGGATAATGGGGATCATCAAGGCCACTGCAGTCAGGGTGCTTTTGAGCCCAGGAATTAATAAACCCAGTAGAATGAGAAAGATAAACCCAGAGGCAAAGAATCTGACTAAGATGTGCTAGAGGATTCTCTGTGATGTGGGGCCAGATATAGTGCCTGTTCATCCTTTCTATACCATTATAGTCATAGTTTTACTCCTGTTAATGGAAGAAAATAACCATAGTGGTGAGAGGGCCATAGTGATGAATATCTCTTCAAAGGACCTTAGAGTCAGGCATTAGGAGTGAAGGCCTTTCCAGACTTTAAGGTTTCCCTTTTTCCCACTTACACCATGTATTCATACCTGCTCAAATAGTTCCACAGTGTATCTGGAGGGGAAAGCCGGCGGGGGAGGGGGGCTGGCGCGCCCATTGTCATGGCAGGCAGCAGGGATGCTGTTTACTGAGCGTCCAGTGTTGTAGTTGCATTCAAGTGTGTAGCTAAGACATAAAGACCTTTATCAGTGTCCTGCCTGAACAGATATCAGGACAGAACCATAGATGGTCTAAGGAGGCAATCACTTGGAAAAAAAATGAACACCATGAAAGTGCTAAAGATCCAAAGCAACTAGCAGCTGACCTTGGTATTCCACCATATACACAGGGAATCCCCCCAAACTAGAGTCCTAGACTAAAGACAATAATGCTAATTGTGAGGCTCTCTTTTAAGACTTAGGTGGTCCCTTCTCTCTCAAACACCCTGGACTGGGTTTTTTTTTTTTTTTTGAGATAGAGTTTCACTCTTGTTACCCAGGCTGGAGTGCAATGGCGCGATCTTGGCTCACCGCAACCTCCGCCTCCTGGATTCAGGCAATTCTCCTGCCTCAGCCTCCCAAGTAACTGGGATTACAGGCACACGCCACCATGCCCAGCTAATTTTTTTATATTTTTAGTAGAGACGGGGTTTCACCATGTTGACCAGGATGGTCTCGATCTCTTGACCTTGTGATCCACCCGCCCCGGCCTCTCAAGGTGCTGGGATTACAGGCTTGAGCCACCACGCCCGGCCTGTTGTTTTCTTTAGGGAACCTATTTCATCAACTATATCCCAGCTTCTACCCAACCTGTGGATTATCCCTGAGGCTTTGTGGATTGCAACGCGGCCGCTTCCCTCTTTGGACTGGCCATCTCTGCGGTCTCGGGCATACATATTCTTCTCTGAGAAATTGCAACCCTGGAAGTCGAAGTGGGCTGAGTTCAAGGAGATGAGCTTTGGATACAGCATGTTTTCCACCTGTTTGGGGAAGAAAAAGAGTCAACTCAAGAGAGACAGAAACAAAGAAGGGACAAGGGGCAAGGAAGAGATGGCAAGTGTGGGACCATGTGACTTAATACACAGCAGATACCATCACAACCATCAACAGTAATCAGTGCTGCTCGAATTCTCAGTTTGATATTATTTCTAGGTGTTGGGAAGCAATTCTATTTTTTTTTTTTTTTTTTAAGCTTTTAGCTTCTTCTCTCCAACAATGCAAAATTTTCCTTCTCTGGATTCCCAGACTCTAGCATATTTGCTATAATGCCGTTCGTTAGCTTGACCCTTAATAAAAGGTCATGACATAATGATTGAGACATAAGGCCCCTGTGCCATCTTTCTTGGCCCTTCAAAGCTTTTTCAGAGGTAGACTACACAGGCCTTCCTGCCAGAAGGCTACCTAAGACTATCTGTTCATGGCCCAACCCCATCTCCTAACCAGCAACACTTCCCACATTCACATGACATTCTTAGGATGCCCACCTGGGTGCTCTCATCACTAAAGCTGTTTCCGTACATGAAACAGCCCCTTTTGGAAGCATGTCCATGCAGGTCCACATAGTAAGCAACACCACTCTCTTTTGGGGGGATGGTGTCAGGGGCTGGCTCTTCAAGCCCTGCAGACTGTTGTGGCATAATCCACACACTGTTGGGCTTCTGTTCTGCTGGCTCTGTTTGTTTCCAGCCTTCAGCGTTATCCCCATCAGCTGAGCGCCCATGGTGAGCTTCATTTTGGAGATTATTGGCTTTCTCCAGGTCAGAAAGAGGAAAATCAGGAGAGAGACGGGGATTGGGCTGGTGCTCAGAGGAACTCTGGAAGTTCAGACGAGAGTGCACATGGTGGTAGAGAAGCACAGCTTTGGCTCCATAGATGGCCGGGTGCAGAATGGCATCAGGCTTCAGGTACTGACGGTTCAGATTCACTCCACGTGAGTCTGTGCTATAGGAAAACAAGGACTGAAGCAGGGTCTAGAAGACTGGGCCACTGAAGGAGACATTAGAGTAGAGGAAAAATAGACTGTAGACTGACTTATCAAATGAGAGGCTGAAGCTGTGTTAGGAAAGAAAGAATTGAAGACAGGGCCTCTCTTTGATCTGCTGTCACCCTTACCATAGAACCCTAAGGAGCTTCCTCAGGGTAGCTGCCTCCACCCAGATGGGCCTGCAGTCATCCTAGTTTGGCTCCTTTCTGGGAGTGCCACTAGATGTGATCTCATGCTTTCTCAGGAAGATGAGATGGGCTTGCTTTTATTAGGGTGCAAGAGGATTGGGAACACAGCAGAAGCCAGAAGGTTGACAGCATTTCACTGAGATGCAGGGCATGAGGGGGAATGGGAACAGTCCAGACAGGCTGGGGAAGCCACTTACCGGTAGTGTCCCCGGACCACACCATCGGGGTTCAACATGGGAATCAGCTTAAAGACGAAGAGGCGACGTAGGGTTTGGGCCCGGGGGTCATCAGGTCGGAGGATGAAGTCCAGAAAGCCATTGAAGACAAAGCTAGATGGAGTCTCTCCTGGGTGTACTCTGCTGCTTAAGAAGAATATCTGAGGTAGAGAGAAGAGCAGACATTAAGTCAGTTACCCTATAGTTCTACTTTGACAGTATATGCGCGGTGGCATGGATGAGGCAGGAATAGCTGCTGGATTTCCAGCTGGCTGAGTCTGCAAGTGGAGCAGGGGCCATCACCCTTGCCCCAGGTTGCAGGGGAAGGCTGTGTCCAAGATGCCTAGGGACAACATAGTCTTTAGCTATCAACACTATCTGGTGCTAGAGAAAGGCCAAAGAACTACCTTTATGCTATTTCCACTCACCCTCTTGCCTGTGAAACAGAATGGTCGAGGGGTGCTGGTATCAGGAAATAGCTGCTCTAGACGGGGCTCTCGATCTTCTCGAAGCCCGTGGCAGGAAGTGATCGTCAACAGATCTACACGAAGTCCATCGAGAGAATAGCAAAGGAGCTCCCGATGATAATAGATGGTATCCAGGGGGCTACAGGGAAAAAAATAATTAAACCAGGGGAAGTCCCTAAAGTCCTAGCAAGAGGTAGGCCTTGTCACAGCCCAGGGGTGCCTTATAGTTCCTCATGATGTTAAATGAGGCTAAGGATTTGAGTGGGTTTACATTGCCAGAATGCAGAGTACAGGACAGGGTGAATTTGTTTTTCCCCAGGTGATGGCTTCCTAGCATAGATTATATAGGTGGAGTTGTTCTGGGTGCGGGGCAGATAAAAAAGGTGTGCTGAGTGACTCAGTGGTGGCTAAACTATGGATAACTAATGGGAGCTGGGCTAGTAAGAGGTCTGAGCAAGTGAAAGAGTGGAGGGTAGGTGTTGATATGCTGAGATCATGGTCATACAGAAACATAGTTATCAAAGGTACCCAAAGCCCTGTTTTTTCTGTACAGAAAAAAAGACATAAAATTTTGGTTCAGAGCTCTATGGGCAAATTCTAGAAGTAGTGGGAGTGCTGTCTGATCCAGCACTGTGGCAGGAGTAAGAATGGGTTTGCCACCTGCTATGGGTAGGGTGATTCTCCAGAAAGCGCTGGTCTAGCTGGTTTAGCAAATCCTGGCAGTCACTGTAGGAGAAGGGGTAGCAGAAGGCGAAGAAGGTGGTGGCCCCACGGCCCTCTACGAAACGGTGAACGAAGGATAACACAAACTGCGTCTCTGTCATCTGAGGAGCAGAGGAGGAAGAGGGAGGGGCAACATGCCATCGTCATCAAAACAGTTCCTACTGGGACCACCAGGAACTGACCTCACACCCTTAATTGCCTTTACCAGCTTCCCTCCCTCTGACACTTTCTATATGACAAATGGCTCCTTCTCGGCTTCCTGAGGCAGGGGCTCATCTTGGACTCCAGCTAACACTGGAGGAAAAGCTGATACTTATACCTGCTGTCCCACCTGCCTCATACATGTATCAAGGAGAAAAACGCTTTACTCTCCTCTCTATTTTCAGTGCTAAAGTCTTTCTTTCCTCCTCATGGAGAATTTACCTCAAAGGTGGGCCGGTCTCGAATGCGTTCCCAGCGTGGCCGGGTAGGCAGTGTGCGCACAAAGGGGGCCATGCCTTGGGAATACAGCTTGCTCTGCTTGTTCATGTTCATAATGTTGATCTTGATGAGTTTTCCTGGAGTTCCTCCCCGGACGCTGAAGTAGAACCATGACCTGAGGGCCAGAGTAAGTGAGATGTCATTATATATGGAAGGGTTGGAGATAGGATCTGTGGGAGAGCTGGAGCCAGCCAAACGGGAAAGGGCTATTTGGCAAGGAAAAAGGAGGGAAGACGGGTCTGAAGAGGATGGGTAGTATGCTGATATGAACAAGTAAGTGAAAGGACTAACTGAAGCATGGGTTTGGAGACCTGGATATTCTCTCTCTCAGCCTTCTTCCACCCTCCGTTTCTTTCCACATACCTGTTCCCATTCTCAAATTCGGTTTCAGCACAGTCTGGTCGGGTCCACACATTGAATTCATAGTCAGGGGAAGAGGTCATGCCACTGGTTGGGGCTGACGCCCCACCTACTACCCCTTCCCCATCACTGGACAAAGATTCCACCTTCTCCACGTGGGCTAGATTCCCCGAATCAAAGCGAGAACTGAACAGCAATCCCCCACAGCGCAGCTCCATGGTGGGGCTGGGAAAGCATCCTTCTGCCCCACTCTGGCCCTGAGAGCTGGGGAAAAACAAAGGTTGGGTTAAGAAGGAAAGGAAAGACAAATGGAAGCATTTTTGGGGTATCTCTGGGTAAGTAAGAGCTATTCTTAGGGAGTGCCCTATGAAACAAAAGACTCCCCTTTAGAAAACACAGAAGTGGTCTTCCAGTAAAGGCCAAGAGAAAGCAGCACTCTGTACCCCCACACTGAGGATTGCAAATGACCTAAAGGGACCCCATTTTACTTTAGCTTGGCTGTTCCCAAATAAAATAATGGCTTAACTATGTTGAAAAACACTAGACTCTCAGCTGCTTTGCAGCCCAAAGAGGTCAGATTTCGCAGACCTAGCCAAGATACACTCACCACCATACATGGCCACCTTTAGAGATGGGCCGTTCTGGATCTCTGGCTCTGCACTCTCCAGCACAGAGCAGAGAGAGGAACCGAGGTTCTGAGTGTAAATGGGTAGTAGTCCTCTCTCCAGCCTCGGCCCTCAAAGCACTGAACGGACATTCTGGTGTTGCTCCCCTGAGCCCTGGAAGAGCTGGTTCTTGCTTTTTTGTTCCTACCTTATGCCTAGTATGGAGGAAAACTATAAAAGCGTGGCCTCTGCCAAGCCAAAGGCAACTGGGCTCACCTAGCGACTGGAGCTCCATTCTAGCCAGGACATGGGTCTGTTTCCACCCCCCTCCGCCCCGTAAGCACTGCACCCTGCGAAAGCTACCCTAGTAGTTGTGGGTGAGTAATGGGTGTTCTGAGCACCCCCAAAAGAGGTGGGCTGCTAGAGTCCCACTCGGGCAGAAGGCTGGCTTCTCTACCTTCGACTCCCGAAGGGCCGTCACACCGAGCGGGCTTGCCATGGGCAGGGTGGGACTGGGAGGCATGGGAGGGGTCGAGACGGACTCCCGCGTCAGGGGATTAGGCAGGCATGGCCTAGGGGGTTAGAGATGAGGCCAAGGAGCGGGGCAGGGGCGGGGCCGCGAAAGCCGGGCCGGGGGCGGGGAGGGGCGGGGTGGCGTGGCCTTCGAGGGGCTCGGGCTGAAGGGGCTGAGAGAAGGGGGCGGGGCCGGAGCTGGCGAGGCCCGCAGTCCGCGCAGAGCCCCTCACCTCTCTCCGGGCCGGTGATCCCGCTCCCTCTCCCGCTAGTGAGACCGCACCTCGGGCCCCGGCACCTGGGCCCTCCACCCGGGTCCCCAAAAAAAACCCGAGCGCCGCGGTGCCGGGACCCCGCTCTGCCAGGAAACAAGAAGTCTCTCGCCTATTGGCCGCGACTGCAGCTGGCGACCCGCCCAGTAAAGCTCGCTATCATTGGTCAGCTCGCAGGGTTCCTCGCACGTTAGCGGGTACCTGAGCGAGAGCCGTCTGGGGGCTCTGGCTGGCAGGCGCGGCCGGAGGGTTCTAGTAGGGTCTTCCCGTAAGACGGTTAACGGCCTGCCTGCCGGGAGGCGGGAAAGATAAAGTGACAGAAACTGAGACTCACCTGCAAAACAAAAAGACATCGTGCGAAGCTCTTCATCGCTTAACAGGCTTCTGCCTCTAAAATGATACACAGCCCACTGGGCCGGGGCTCCCTCCCACTTTGTGTTCTCTAGTGTGAGGGACGCAAAAGCCAACTGGAGGATGCGGGCATCGATCCCGCTACCTCTCGCATGCTAAGCGAGC